CGAGATCTTTACGCGAATGTTTCTAAGTGCTCTGAGTAGTCTGGGCGTCGGCGAGAACCGTTTGAGCTAAACCGTTGTGTTCTCGGCACACAGCCTGAAACAGCGGTCCAGGTGGGGGGGCGTTAAGGTGGGGGGGCGTTAAGGTGGAATGAGGGGGGGGGCGTTAAGGTGGAATGAGTGGGGGGGGTTAAGGTGGAATGGGGCTTACCTGGGAGGCTCTCTTGAGGAAGTAGAGGATCACAGACAGAACGATGATCACCAGGACGATCAAGCCGAGGACCACGTAGCCTGCAGTCCCCTGCGTTCTCTCATCGCCGGAACCGACGCCGGTACCGACGCCGGTACCGACGCCGGTTCTGACGCCGGTTCTGACGGCGGTACTGACGGCGGTACTGACGGCGGTACTGACGGGGGTCAGCGGGGGCGCCGTGCTGGTGACGGTGTCCTCTGTCGAGTTGTTTGAAACGTCTTTTCGTCCTTCTGGAGTCTGTAGAAGATTGTTGAAGCTGATGAAGTGGCACCTTGTACACGAGTAGAAGCTCGCTGTAAACATCAGAACAACGTCCAGGAACAAAGTACATAAGTGCACGAGTACACGAGTTAAGATTCATCAGACTGATAAACGTTACCTGCTGTTGCTCGTTCTTCTTTAGTGGAACATGTTATATCGTAAATCTTACCCCAGGTCAGATAAATGTAACGATGTAAACATGTATGTGGGAAGTATTGGGAAATGGTAATACTCCATCTAAGTACTGGTAGTAATATTATGTAGTTCTTTTCCATCGTTCTCCGGTTTGCCAACAAACCAGCTGTAATCGATGCGTGTCCATGTTTCTTGAGCCTGTGTGATGTAGACGGCGGTTACCGTGGAGACCGCTGGGCCCCGGTCCGATCGATTGGCGGCTGTTTGAGTCGCCGGCGGGCCGCTGGTCTCGCGTGGCGACGGACTCGAGGCGTCCGGAGCACCTGGGAGAGACGTGAGGGACCACAGAGTCAGCAGGGACAGGAAGTGGTGCAACGAGACGCGGCGCCGCCCGGCGGGGTCCAGGACTCCGTGGGCCGGGAGCCGGTTCCTCGTGCTCTTTGGTGCCTCTTTCCGTCCTGTGCGTTTACCGTCGCCATCTTGGTGCGGGCGGAGCTGAGTAAGCTAACGCTAGCGCCGCTTCTCAGCTAACGCTAGCGCCGCTTCTCAGGACCAGAGCTTCAGACTTGAGAACGGCCTGAAGTTAGCGACGTCTCGTTGTGAAGCCTTCAGAACCAACCCTGACCCACGAACAAACGTACCTGTCGCATCGCCTGCAGAAACAGACGTGACGTTTTCTCCTCTGGAAATTGAAGAAATCGATAAAACTGAAACGTAAAGAGCGAACGATGAGGAGAGGAACACCAAACTAAAGTGTGAATAAATAACCAGAACAAAATAAAGATCTAAAGTAATTCTATACACTTCATTCTATTTTTATCTCCAACCTTTGACCTCTGTCACCTGCCTGCTGGACACTGAAGGTCGACCACTGACGTCATCGGGTTCGTTGTATAGTTTAACACTTGATGCCATATTTAAAGTCTTTCTGCACTAATCTGATTATTCCTTTTATTGAGTGACATTAAAGAGAAATTATGGTTGAAAATCCATAACTGACTTTCTAATTTCCCCGCTCAGATCAGAGCTCCCGCTACTTCCTGCTTGTGTCGACGGCTCTTCGGTCCTCGAATGAACCTCCAGGTAGATTTGAGACTAAATCAGATGTGACTTTAGCTGAGCGAGATCACGGGTTCACGTTTAATCACTAAACCACAGCTGTTCTTATCTGACAGAACGCAACGAACAGCCAGCGTTCAACACGTGAGGCGGAAACACGTTTGCTGTGAACTCACCGAGAAAAGCCAGCAGAGCCGCCGAGCCGTTCATGGCGCCGGATTCACTTCTCTGCCTGAACATCTGCTTAAAGGCGCTGGGTGCTCCTCCGAGGGCCCTCTTTCTTTCTCCCTTTTCCCCCCCTTCCGATTGAGTAGAGGAGGGTTAGTTTAATTTTCCTAATGGTACTTTATTGGTTTGACAGCCCCCCCCTTTTTATGTGTGCGTGCCATCAACCTTTTTTTAGAATAGAAGGCACGCGGTGACCCTACCTCCCACCCCCCCGCTAAGTATGGCCATGGGTAAGACGGCGGTAACGCCCCCCGGGTGAAGGTTCGGGTGGGTGATTGATTTCAAACAACAGCGGGACTTTCCGATAACACAGCCCATATGGAGGAGAGATATTAAGACACGTGACGCCCCTCCCCCCAGTTGGGGGAGAATAACGAGCCTTTGGGGAGCACTTTGAGAAGCACTTTGGGAAAGCCTCGGGGCCCCAAGACGAGTTGGGCGGGTCCAGCCCAAAATTTTAAAATGAGGTTTCAAGGTGCCCACAATTTTTTTTTAACTTTTTTTTTTTCCCCCCCGATCCCCAATGACCCCCCCCCCCCCCCCCCCCGCTCACCATGTAGACCCCCCCCCCCCCCTCTCTCGGTTTCTGTGAGCGTTCAGGAAGTGATCGACCGCAGCGCTGCCTCCACATCGACACAGGATGCTCGCTCTGTTTTCTGCTTCCCGCCTCCGTCGGGTCGAACCGCGGCGCTCAAACTGCATCTCGCACGCCAACCGCCGCAAGAATGCCTGACTGAAACATCAGAGCGGACACACGCGATGCTTTGTTCCATTGTTATCATCTAACAGAAGCTTCAGACGTTCTTCTGAAACTGTCAATTTAGATAAATGTAGTGAATTAAACACAATAATGATAATTTAATCAACACCAGAGTTCGAGAACCGAAAAAAAACTGATCTTTTGAAATCCACAATAAAACATAAGCTTTGTTGTTAAGAATTCTATCAAGCTTCATTAATGAAACATTCTTTCTATCGGAGGCCCGATACCCAGCGTACCCGAGTGACTCGTATTCATCCGACTCGTAGTCATTTGACTCGTAGTCATCTGACTCGTATTCATCCGACTCGTAGTCATCTGACTCGTATTCATCTGACTCGTATTCATCCGACTCGTATTCATCCGACTCGTAGTCCTCTGACTCGTCCTCTGACTCGTAGTCCTCTGACTCGTCCTCTGACTCGTAGTCCTCTGACTCGTCATCTGACTCGTATTCATCTGACTCGTAGTCCTCTGACTCGTATTCATCTGACTCGTAGTCCTCTGACTCGTAGTCCTCTGACTCGTATTCGTAGTAGCCTAAATGAGGCTTCATCTAAAGGTCACATGGGTCAATTTAATCTACCGACACAAACAGTCAAATAAACACCTAAATGTTTCTTTTGTTTCCGTCCACCAGACGTGTGAGATGGGACAGAATCTCAACCAGTGGAGAACTGGTTACTGGTTACTGGTTACTAGTTACTGGTTACCGTAAGTCACCGGCAGAGTTCTTTTACAAGAGAAGTGAAATGTTTTTTGAAGAAAAGACCTCATTGACGTCGGAATGTTCTTCCCTGATCGGATCAGATCTACGGTGACTCACCGACAGCCCACACCAGCAGGTGCACCTTCATCGCCATCCTCTTCATCACCTCCTGTCCTCCTCTTCGCCACCAGACGTCTGGCGCCTCGTCGCTGTCAGGCTGGCGACACAGGAAGTGGAGATGTGTGATGGAGGTGTGAGAGCACAGCTGATGTTTGAAATGTTCTTCACCTCGTCCACAGCAGCCGAGTGTCTTCAAGGAGCTTATGCGTGTCAGGAAGTAGGAGGAACACGTGAAGGAGAACTTCCTCCTTCAGTTCGTCACAGTGGAGATGCGAGGTCTTCAGCGGATGGGATCCTCACACGTTGAGGAACCCGCTCAGATTCCTGCAGCGTGAAAATAACAACAAACAAAACAAGACACAAACGCGTCTGCAAGATATTCTCTCAAAATCTATTTCACTTTCTTGGCAATGATTTATTCCCAAAGCAAAGCGAGGAGGCTTCCCCAGCAGGGGGCGCCGGCGCCGTGGCAACCCGCCGTCACATTACACACGTTAAAATACTCCCTTTTATTCTTCTCTGTTCAGAGGAAAACTGTTTTCTGCTGGATTTGCTCAACGGTTTGCAGATTTCACAGCCGACGTGAACGCAGCACGATGCGTTCATGCTCCGTAAAAAACACACCTCACACGTTGTTGCAGGAAGTCATTTATTTTTCCTTTGCATCTTGGTTTGTTCCAATAGTATGTCAGTTAAAGTAAGGCTGTGTGTGTGTGTGTGTGTGTGTGTGTGTGTGTGTGTTAGAGGTCTTAACGGGGTCCGTGGAGGTAAAATGTCTGAATGATGAAGTGAATTTATTGTCTTTAAATACACGTTAACATGCATCCAACATGTCGTAGAAAGGGACGAACTGATGGAGACGTCGTCTTCAGTCCCACAGCTCCTCTCACGCCGATACGACATCACAGCCAATCACATCCGTTCGTGCTCATGTGCCTGAAAAACGTTTTCTGATCTAAAGTGAAAGTATCAAACCTCATGAATCCAGACCAGCGTGTGGTCAAAAGAATAGTTTAAAACGCCTCACGGACGTCAAAGAGTCAGAACGGGGAAGACACTTCATACATAAAAGCTCCTGTTTGTCCTCTGAGCGGCACCCGTCCACCTGTTAGCCCCGAGCTAAACGCTAGTAGCCACGTTAGCGGGTTGATAAATGTTCATAATCTCGTAATAACCCACATGTCAGTGGCAAGAAATCACAGTTTTCATCAACATATAAATAACCATGTAAATATTTGACCGTCACACCGCTGGCGTTGCGTGTTTTGTGCTTGGCAAGTTGGGTGGGCTGGGTGGGGTTGGGTGGGGTTTGGGGGGTGGGGTCACTCCTCCGCGGTGCACTGGAGTGCGACGCTGTGCTCCTGGGCCACGGCAGCCAGCTCCTTCAGGAACTCGGCGAACAGGACGACGGCGAACACCCGGCTCTTGGCCCGAGGGGGGATGGGGGGGCAAGGCAGCAGGGCGGCGGCGAGAGGAGGCGGGGCCTGCGCGTCCGGGCCGCTGTTTCTGTCCCCGCAGGACTCGAGGCACTCTAGAGGGGGACGGACAGAGACGGCTTCAGACAGAGCTGGAGGAAACTGTTTCTATCGCCCCCTGCTGGTCAGCAGACAGAACCACGCTTTCCTGTTACTAAGCAACCGGGTCCAAACTTACTTACGTGTGTGTGTGTGTGTGTGTGTGTGTGTGTGTGTGTGTGTCTTCACTGACCTCTGAACTTGCTCTCCTGGTCTTTGGCCAACAGGAACCTCCAGGCCTGAGTGACCAGGGCGGGGAAGTCCGGCCGGGCCGCCACGTAGCGCTCGATCTGATCGCGCTCCGACACCAGCACCTGCAGGGACAGACGGCAGGCGTGTGTGTCTGCATGGCGTGCGTGTCTGCGTGGCGTGTGTGTCTGCATGGCGTGCGTGTCTACATGGCGTGCGTGTCTGCATGGCGTGCGTGTCTGCATGGCGTGTGTGTCTGCATGGCGTGCGTGCGCCTGTGTGTGCGTACGTGTTACCTGGTGCAGCGTGCGCACGTTGGGCTGGTCGTGCGTGTCGGTGCTGAGCAGGAAGGATCTCAGGAGAGGTTGCGGGTACGACGCCAGCTGGGCCAGCAGGCCCGTCACCAGCAGGTTGACGGCGATGGAGTTCTCCAGAAGGTTCTCCAGGCGGGACAGCAGCACGCTGATGAACGGCCCTGGTGCATGATGGGAAACTACAGGTGAAGAGGGGTTTCTAGTTTTCTGATTAATCACTTTATGTTCTTCAGTCTGTGTTTGATGTCTTTCCACTGGCGACAGAATTAATCAACCAAACCTTTGACTCAAGTTGATACACTGACCTGTGAAGGGAACTCCGTGCCTCCTGCTGCCTTCCCTACGGCGTCTCCTCCTCTCCTCTCCTTCCTCCTCCACTTCTTCCATCGCCTCCTCCTCCTCCTCCTCCCCTCCATCATCCCACGAGGAGCAAAAAAAGGACTCCTCCTCTTCCAGTTTCTGCCTGAGCGCTCTGACCCGCCTCCTGAATGCGCCGATGTCGTTGGTGACGTCGTCGCAGTCTGGCTCCGCCCCCAAAGAGCGCATGAGCTCCTGGTACCGGGACAGGAAGTTGTCGCTGTCGCTGTCGGCGGCGTCGTTGCCCGGTGGACTCGCGGCCCTTGCGGGGGTCACCAAAGGGTCGCCGTTGTGTCGAGTGTGAAACGTCTCGCCGTCCTCGTCATCCTCGTTGTCCTCGTAGTCTTCGTCGATGGTGAGATTCTTGGCGTCGAAGCCGTTGGTGAGAGACGGACGTCCTCCTGGTGCGTCTGTCCGTTTCATCTCCTCTTCTCCTTCCTCCTTCTTCCTCCCCGCCTCCTTCCCCCCGTCCTCGCTCCTCCTCCTCTCCTCTCTCCCCCCGTCCTCGCTCCTCCTCCTCGTCGACATGATGTTGTTAACCGTTTCTATGACGGTCTTCCCCGCCGCCGTCGGCGCCCGCTGGCCGTTGGAGAAGCTCCCGTGCGACCGCCGGTTCGCCGCCATGATGCGCTCCAAAATGGCCGCCTTGGTTTCCCTCTGGGCGACCAGATCGTAGACCAGGACGTCGTCCTGGAACTCGGACTCCTCCACGTAGGAGCCCCGGACCAGCTTGGTGGCGGTGCGCCGCATCTCCTGGATGTGCCGCGGCGTCGAGACGCAACCGTCCACCTCCGCGGCCACGCCGCCCCCCGCCGCGTCCGCCGACAGGAGGGGGGGGTACTCGTCGGCGAAAATGTCGTCCCACTCCAGCTCCAGGGCGGAGCCTGCTCGGCTAACCTGGTTGCCCGCGGAGACGGTATCCGAGGAGGAAGGCGTCGGGGAGAGGGCCGAGGGGGGAGGAGCCACGAGGAGAGAGTAGATGGCGTCGCCGTTGACTCGCCGGGCGAGCTCGTCCTCCAGGTCGTCCTCGGGGAGGACCGATCCCGAGCGGCAGTCCTGCGGCGGAGGGTCGAACCCGTCGTACGCACACGACCACTGACGAGAGGCTCTGCAGGCAAAAACAAAGTCATCAGAAGTGGAGAAGCCAGACGGAAACATCTGATTGGGCCGGGGGAGAAGGGGGAGGGGAGGGGGGAGGAGGGCGTTCTCATTCAGAGCATGCAGGCATTAGCATGTAGCTTAATCTTACACTTCATTTTAGAAGCTCAAGACTTCATGTGTTAAAGCTGCATTCTCTCGTATGTCCACCAGGGGGCGACTCCTCTGCTCCCATAGAAGTCTGTGAGAAAATGACTCTTGATTTATTCCCTCAGTAAACAATGAAGCAGGGGACGCTTTAGGGCGGGGCTTGCTGTGATCGACAGGTCGTCACCGCAGCGTTCTCCTCTACAACTTTAAGCCTTCCACAGTTTTCTCTCAATGAAAGTTGATCGCAGCTTTTTTGTTTGCCTTAAAAAATGTATATTGTATTGGGTTGTACTTAGCTCCGCCCCTCCTGTGTCCCGTCTGACAGAAGACCAACGAGGCGGCCGTGTGTCCCAGCGGGCCAGGTGAGGACGCACTCACCTGAGAGCCGTGGAGATGGCTTGGCGGGCGTCCCACAGGTAGTGGAGGTAGTTCACGTCCATCGGGAAGTCGGCGCCGCGCCGGTACCCCACGCTGTCCGCCAGCGACAGGCCTGACCCGGACAGAAAAGGTGCGAGTTAGCGTGGCGCCGCGCATAGAGCAAGGCCTTTAATCGTCGTGCGCGTTTGAACGACAGCCACCTGCTCCTCGGGGCCAGTGGACGTGCTCCGTGGGGGGGCCGAGGCCGAGGAGGGTCCCGGCACACCAGGGGGGCGAGAGGAGCAGGAAGGAGGCGGCGCTGGAGGAGCAGGAGTCTCTGCGCCTCAGGGCGGAGCGCTGCTTCCCGCTCAGGTGGCTGCAGGGAACCAGATACCTGAGGACGCACGGACGCCGCTAAGTCCCAGCATGCAACGCTGAGACGCGCAATTACGTCTTCTGATCGACGATGGACACGATGGACATGATACGACAATGAGATCTCATGGAGGACACGAGAGACGGACCTGAAGACCAGCTGCAGCATGACGTCTTCACAGAAGAGACCAATCAGAGTCCTGAACAGAGCCAGAGACACCGTCCCCAGCTGGAGGGCACAGGGGGTCAAAGGTCAGACCACAGCGCTATGAAGGGGAGGAGGAAGAGGAGGCGCGTGTTACCTGGAAGGGCGTGTTGACCCTGCTGACCAGCGTGTCCAGGATGTGCACGTTGTCGTGCGTGTGCAGCAGGATGAAGGACAGGAAGCTGTGGAGGAGGGCGGGCTCAGAGATGGAGCGCAGGAACAGGTCCAGGTAGGCGGTGGTGGTCATCACCTCCTCCACCGTCAGCTACACACACACACACACACACACACACACACACACACACACACATTGTGTCGTATTCAGGTTGTTGTGTCTCAAGCACCGTTTTCCTTCTCTAAACCAAACTGGAAAGGACTCGAGGCCTCTGTCGCCACCGCCACTCAACAGCCAATCAGCTTCGGCGACACCCGCGGTCGCCGATAGCGACGTGTTTTCCTACCTTGTGCAGAGCGGGAGCCAGGACCGGCACCAGGAAGCCGTTGTAGATGTAGCCGAGCAGCTGAGACCGGATGGAGGGATGAGCCACCTGAGAGGAGGACGGACCCCTAATCAGCGTGTGTGTGTGTGTGTGTGTGTGTGTGTGTGTGTGTGTGTGTGTGTGTCTGTGTGTGTGCGTGTGTGTGTGTGTGTCTGTGTGTGTGTGTGTGTGTGTTACCTTGGTAACCGCGCTGCAGAAGTCCAGGGAGTGCAGGAAGTGGACGAGAGCTGGAACCTGTGGAGCCAAACAGCAGGTGGGAGTGAGGTCATCGATGCCCCCATTCATTCATTCATGCATGCATTCATTCATTCATTCATTCATTCATTCATTCATTCATGCATGCATGCATTCATTCAGTGGGTAATATAAAGTGAAATGTTAACATTGCGCTCCATTGATCGTTGTTTGTATTTGTAAATTGTATAAAAGGCGACGAGCTGCTTTGCAGAAGGTCAGTTGAACATTTTTTGGTTTTCTTTGACAAACTGAAGTGTTTTTACTGCTTATTGTTTACTGACATGAGACCTCCTCATACGGCTTTTTATTATTATCCACTTCTTATTTAGATCTTTTGGTGGTTTTGCCGTTATTGTTTATTATTTTACTTTCAGAAAGAGAGACTAAGGTTTTAATAAGCCAACATGAGGATGTGAATGCTGGGAAACAATCGTTCAGGGTAAATGTAATAATTCACTCATTTGACCATTCACACACACACGGCCTCGTCACCGACAGACTCACTGCCGCGCCTTCGTTAATTCATGCGTTCATTCACAGCGCCGGCTGTGCGTGGTCGCCACGGTTACCTGCTGCCAGTCGGCCGGGGCCAGGCAGTGCCAGTCTTCACTGTAGACCTGCAGCCGGGCCGGAAGAGACGAGTAGAGACCGGACAGACCTGTGGCCAGCACCTGAGCACACACACACACATTGATACACACACACATTAACACACACACACACACACACATTAATACACACAACCGTACTACAGTGCAGATAAGTGAGGGAATAGTGAGGAGACACAGGAAGTGTTTCATTCATTCATTTAACATCATTAATAGACTCACGGATCCAAACAGGTTAATGGCGGTTAGCCTAGCTTAGCATAAAAACACCCAAACGCTACACTCTGATTCATGCACCGGTTGTATGTTCTGGCAATAGAGACCTTTTGGACAAAGCTGGCTGTTTGCAGGATTGATGCTAAGCTAAGCTAACCAACTGTAGCTTTATATTTACAGCGAGCGGTATCAATCCTATTTCTATATTGAAGCAAATAAGACAACTATTGCTTTAGAAAGAGAGGGAATAGGAAGGTATGCGAAGCAACAACAACAACAACAGCTGCAGTCTTGAGTCTCGCTAACAATCAGGCAACCGTCCAATCACGTGCAGCTTTACTAATCCCGCTCTGTGTACGAGCCAATCGGACATTATTTAATCTCTGCAGGGAGATTGAGGTCAGAGTGTGTCTACACGGGCTTAGAGGCGACACACACACACACACACACACACACACACTCACACAGTAAAAGCAGAACCTGGCTGAGGTGGAAGCAGTTCAGTGAATGAAGAAGAACAAAAGTACTTTTTGTTTTCATTAAGAATGTGTTTTTTTCCCGTCTTTTAAAGCGTTTCCCTTTTTTAGGCGTGTTAGCGAACGATTCTCTGGGGAAGGCAATGTTTATACAGTCATTCTAAAGCCGCTGTGCTAATTAGCGCGTGATAGCGTGCTAATAAGCTACGCTTCTAGTTGTTAGCATTTAGATCAAAGCTCTGCAGTCTGTTGACTTTTGATCCAGTTTTGATCATATAAAGGATCATACATAATATAAATTGTATACATTACTTCATAAGTAAAATGTATGAACAAATATATATATTTTCCATATATATGTTACTGATTATTGTGTCATTCATCATTTATTTTTTGAGTTCAGCATTTTTCTTTTCTTTCTCCACACGCTTTATTTTATAATATTTGTTACTTTACTCCCTCTAAACATCTCCCAGCTCCTTCCTCTCCTCCTCTCCTCCCTCCTCTCCCCTCCTCTCCTCTCCTCCTCTCCTCTCCTCTGCTCCTCCTCTCCTCTCCTCCCTCCTCCTCTCCTCTACTCCTCCTTTCCTCTCCTCTCCTCCTCTCCTCTCCTCCCCTATCCTCCTCCTCCTCCTCTCCTCTCCTCTCCTCTCCTCTACTCCTCCTTCCTCTCCTCTCCTCCTCTCCTCTCCTATCCTCCTCTCCTCTCCTCTCCTCTCCTCTCCTCCTCTAGTGTGGGCAAGGTTTCTCTCCTCATCTCCTCCTCCTCCTCCTCCTCCTCTCCTCTCTAGTGTGGGCAGGGTTTCTCTCCTCATCTCCTCCTCCTCCTCTCCTCTCCCCTCCTCTCCTCTCCTCTCCTCCTCCTCCTCTCCTCTCCTCTCCTCCTCCTCTCTAGTGTGGGCAGAGTTTCTCTCCTCATCTCTCGGTCTGAGCTCATTAGTTTATTGCATAATGGTTGTAATGAGATTACAATGCAGAGGGGAGATGAATGAATAAAGGAAAGGATTCATCCGCGCGTCAAAACATTCACAAACTCCACTTAATATTCATAAAGAGTTCTGATCTAAAGCCTTTTCTTCTGTTGTGTGAAGAGGAGAATTCATCTGCTCCTGGTGGCCGAGGCTTTGGCCCCACTGATGGCACGCAACGCAATATTCATTCATTTGTGAACCTGAAAACATTGTATATTTTTAGTTCATCATGTTGTAAAGTTGGTTACCCCCCAAAAAATATTTTGTAATGTTAAATCAACAAAGACCACGTCTCCCCGTGACCTCTGGGGTCCCCGTGACCCAGAGGCCCTCTGCAGCGTCCACTCACAGGGCAGAAGTAGGTGTTCTGGGTGATGTGCAGCGCCACTCGAGGGTCAGAGGCCGACAGAGACATGATGAGCAGCAGAGCGTCTCTGGCCTGCTGGCCGACCGAACCCCGCCTGAGGGAGGGGAGAGCCTCATCAACACATATATATATATGTGTGTGTGTGTGTGTGTGTGTGTGTGTGTGTGTGTGTGTGTGTGTGTGTGTGTGTGTGTGTGTACCGGTGTGTGTACGGTATGAGCAGGGAGAAGAGCAGGAAGTTGGCGGCTCCTTGGTCCTCACTGGTGTGGAAGAAGAGTTCCAGCACCGAGGGATCTTTGACCAGAGCGACACACAGCTGGTTCAACAGGAGGACAAGCTCCGCCTCCACCACGCCGCCGCTGTCTGGAGAGGGGGGGGCCTCAGATGAGTAACTCCACAGGTAACTGCTCAAACATCTTAGCAACTGCAGCAAGAGAAAGCACTTCCTGACTAGGAACTAGTGTAAAGATGTAAAGGTGTACAGGTGTAAAGGTGTAAAGATGTAAAGGTGTAAAGATATAAAGGTGTAAAGATGTAAAGGTGTACGGGTGTAAAGATATAAAGGTGTACAGGTGTAAACTTATAAAGGTGTAAAGATGTAAAGGTGTATGGGTGTAAAGGTGTACGGGTGTACGGGTATACGGGTATAGGGGTGTAAAGGTGTAAAGATGTACAGGTGTAAAGATGTACAGGTGTAAAGATGTAAAGGTGTATGGGTGTAAAGGTGTATGGGTGTAAAGGTGTATGGGTGTAAAGGTGTATGGGTGTAAAGGTGTACGGGTGTAAAGGTGTACGGGTGTAAAGATATAAAGGTGTACAGGTGTAAAGATATAAAGGTGTAAAGATGTAAAGGTGTACAGGTGTAAAGATGTACGGGTGTAAAGGTGTACAGGTGTAAAGATATAAAGGTGTAAAGATGTACGGGTGTAAAGGTGTAAAGGTGTACAGGTGTAAAGATATAAAAGTGTACGGGTGTAAAGGTGTAAAGATGTACAGGTGTAAAGATGTAAAGATGTAAAGATGTAAAGGTGTAAAGGTGTACAGGTGTAAAGGTGTACAGGTATAAAGATGTAAAGATGTAAAGGTGTAAAGGTGTAAAGATGTACAGGTGTAAAGATGTAAAGGTGTAAAGGTGTTTGTGTGGCAGCCTGGAACGAGCCGACGCCAGCAGGTACGTGTACCAACACAAAGTTTCCATTTAGATCAAACGTGTCAATAAATAGGCTCCTCGCGGAGCCAGGCTAGCTGTTTCCACCTGTTTCCAGTCTTTGTGCTAAGCTAAGCTAACCTAAGGTGCCAGTTGTGTGAGTGGCCCCAACCCACCGGTGCCAGGTCCGGCGCAGGAGGCCAGCAGCATCATGAGCGGCCGCAGCACCGGCTTGTGGTGCAGCAGAGGCTGCCTGGCCTGGGACAGAAGCATCTGGTACATCCTGAGCTGCTCCAGCTTCATGTCCTCCGTGAACTGTCTCCTCAGACTCCACAGGAACAGCCTCTCCATCACGCCCTCCACCACCACAAACTCCAAGATGGGCCCCATGGCGCCTCCTGTAACCAAGACAAGGTCATGAGACCTGGGCCGACGCGGCGCCGCCCCCTCCTCCTCCCCCTTCGGCTCTGTCTCACCTTGGCCCACCTCCTCCTCCATCAGCAGGAAGAGCATGTGCTCCACGTAGTTCTGGACGGCGCTGGCCTCGTCGGCCGGGACGGGGCCCGGGCGGAGCGCCGCGGGGCCGGAGAGGAAGCTCAGCGCGCCGGTGACGCCGCGGGCCGGCTCGTGTTTCTCCAGGATCTTCACCACCTGCAGAGAGGAGCGGACATTAAGAGAGTCCTACTCCTCGCCGCGGGATGAAGACTCCGTCGTGAGGGAGGAGATGGTGGGTGTGTGCATCAGCTGTGAGCATAAGCAGCATTAACGTGAAGAGCTTCCTGATCGGGTGAACGTGATTCATTTGGTGCTCGCTGGTACTTTGCTCCGCCCTCTGGCATCACTTCTGGTTCCGGAAAAAAACAGATGGTCATGGACTGAAACCAAGATGGACCAAGATGTTCGCCTTCAACAAAACAATTTCCCCAAAAAACTACAGGGAGACAACCGAAAACCAAGACACCCAAAAGTGTTCATCGACTGAAAGGAACCTCATTAACGTCACTGTGAATTCTTCATTTTGCATCATTAATATTATTTAATTAATTCACCGGCGACAACTGAATTCATCGCTGTAATAAATGTCTGTAGAGACCAGATCGCTGTGGGAGGGATGAACACTAGAATGAAGAGAGAGTGACGCTGGACTTGTGTTAACCTTTGACCTGCCTCAGACACACACACACACAGACATGGATGTGTGTGTGTGTGTGTGTGTGTGTGTGTGTGTGTGTGTGTGTGTGTTCTCCTGGCGGCCGTGGAGAGAGAGGCTTGTCTCTAAATGGATCCTGTGTTTAAGGGCCAAAGTCTGGGTCAGTAACACACAGACACACACAGACACACACACACTGTGCCTGCCAACCGTTATGAGGACACCGGGACAGACTGACTGACCCCCAGGGGGTCCGCAGAGGTACTGCAGGGGGGGTTGCGAAATCTTTTTTAATTAAAAAAAGAAAAAATCAACTCTTTTTTTTTAATTGTCTTCAGAATCATAATCAGAATTTAATTTATTGTCTTTAACATTAACATGAATGCAACATATCGTAGAAACGTCTGGAGGAGACGTTGTCTCAAGCTGGACACCGGTTCACTCATCATGCTGATACGACGTCACCGGCACCAGCCAATCAGATCCGTTCATGCTCACGTCTAAAGAGGGCGGAGCTCAAAGGTAAAAGATGGCGGACCAAACTCCATAGAATAGGGGGTCCCTGCTTCATCTCACCATCAGATTGGGGGTCCTTGGCCTGAAAAACGCCTGGATTAGATGATTGATTGGCGGGTTGATTACCTGTGACCAGTGGTTCTTGAAGACGATCATGCAGGTCTCCGGGTCCACCCCTCTCAGAGAGAGAGACCTTCTCCGGTTGCCCCCGACAACCGCCGAGGCTTTCATCATTTTGACTGGCAGTCAGGTGGTCAGAGCGTGTTTCAGATCAGCGTGATGGGTGGGTGCTGGACCGCGGGGGGCCGGCGGGGGGCATAGCTGGCTCGGTCGGCCCAGGGTCAGGCTCCTCCCCCGGGTTCGGCGTGGCAGCTGCTGGCAGAGGGTTATTTTCTTATTATTGCTGTAATTGCCGTGGTGGTACATCTTCATCTGCATGTTCTCACACTTGAGTCTGAAGACATAAAGCATCAAAAACAAATACAGGTCCATCTCTCTCTGTCCGCATGCCGCAGGAAGTGAGGTCGCCAACAAGCAAACAGGAAACGCATCCCGAGACCCGCCCTGAGTGTTTCCCCGGGACATTCCTCAAGCTCCTACAAGCTCCAAGAAACCCACAAGCCCTTCTACGAAGAACCCTGCTATAAGGAACCTTACTGTGAAGAACCCTGCTATAAGGAACCTTCTATGAAGAACCCTGCTATAAGGAACCTTCTATGAAGAACCCTGCTATAAGGAACCTTACTGTGAAGAACCCTGCTATAAAGAACCTTCTACGAAGAACCCTGCTATAAGGAACCTTACTGTGAAGAACCCTGCTATAAGAAACCTTCTATAAAGAATCCTGCTATAAAGAACCTTCTATGAAGAACCCTGCTATAAGGAACCTTACTGTGAAGAACCCTGCTATAAGGAACCTTCTATGAAGAACCCTGCTATAAGGAACCTTCTATAAAGAATCCTGCTATAAAGAACCTTCTATGAAGAACCCTGCTATAAGGAACCTTACTGTGAAGAACCCTGCTATAAGGAACCTTCTATGAAGAACCCTGCTATAAGGAACCTTCTATAAAGAATCCTGCTATAAAGAACCTTCTATGAAGAACCCTGCTATAAGGAACCTTACTGTGAAGAACCCTGCTATAAGGAACCTTCTATGAAGAACCCTGCTATAAAGAACCTATGAAGAACCTTCTATGAAGAACCCTGCTATAAAGTACCTTCTATGAAGAACCCTGCTATAAGGAACCTTACTGTGAAGAACCCTGCTATAAGGAACCTTCTATGAAGAACCCTGCTATAAGGAACCTTCTATGAAGAACCCTGCTATAAGGAACCTTACTGTGAAGAACCCTGCTATAAAGAACCTTCTACGAAGAACTCTGCTATAAAGAACCTTCTATGAAGAACCTTCTATGAAGAACCCTGCTATGAACAGCCTTAGAACATCAACAACAACAGTGTAAACAGTGTACTTCCTGCCGCTGAGGGCACCTCATGGACGTCCTGTAGAAGAGACGTTTGAGATGTTGAGTGAAAGCTTGTCTGGCACAAACACACACACACACACACACACACGCACATGAACACACACACACACACACACACACACATGAACACACACACACACACACTTCACAAATCCCCCCCGTCACCATCTGGGCCTCTAATCTGTGTGTGTGTGTGTGTGTGTGTGTGTGTGTGTGTGTGTGTGTGTGTGTGTGTGTGTGTGTGTGTCTCACATACCATCACACACACACACACACACACACACCAGGGATTAAACACACACACTGACCTGTTTTTTCAGATTTTCCAGCTTTTAGGGGATTGAGTTTGAATTCATTTTGGTGACACACCTGTTGTGTCCGAGGGCACTGCGGCAGCCAACCGGAGATCAAACCGGAGATCAAACCGGTGATCGGTCAATCGACACATTGAGTGATTTTATTGTCTCTAAAGACAGAATTTTGTATTTTTTTTACATTAAACGTTGAATCAAATCCCCTCAATAAAAACACCAGTTTGATCTAAAGTACTAAAGTAAATGTGTAAGTTAATAGTGTTGATCGATGAGTTAAATGTTTCTGTTCTGTCCGATGTTTGTGTTCTGCTATGTATGAAACAGCATCGTATTCAACGTGAGTCTGGCTCGACCCTGAATGCAGCACACACACACACAGACACACACACACACACCTGGGAGGTCAGTATATACAGCAGAAGAGAGTAAAGCACTCAAACACATTCTACTTTAGTGTTTCCATTGCGCTTCATGACGTTACTTCATTGTGTGACGTCATTCTAGCGGCCCCCTCTACCTGCTTGTTTATGTGTGTTGTTATTTACTGCTCTCTCTCTCTCTCTCTCTCTCTCTCTCTCTCTCTCTCTCTCTCTCTCTCTCCGCTGCTTTGCTTCATGTCGTTGTGCTCGTTTTGCGCTATTTCGTATCTTCTACTACTTCTACGTACTTTTCTCTTATACCGTCGTATCTTTACACAACTTCATCTACACACTGGCACCGGGCGCGCGGGCTCCTCTCACCTGGGCTCCTGTTGGCTCCTCTCACCTGGGCTCCTCTCACCTGGGCTCCTGTTGGCTCCTCTCACCTGGGCTCCTCTCACCTGTTGGCTCCTCGCGGACGAAGCAGCGGGACCTTTTGGACCTTTTGTTCCGTGGACGTGGAGCCGGCTCGCGGGTCGCGGGTCGCGTGTGCCGCTCGTGACCGCAGCTCCGTCCCCGAGGCGGTAAGCCGCTGGGCCGTCAGTCACTCCGCTGCCGGGCAACCGCCGGCCCCGCCCACACGGGCGGGAAGCCACGCCCCCCCCCCCCCCCCCGGAAGCGCGCCAGCTGCACTTGGTTTCTCCGCGCGAAGGCGGCATCTCTGCTTCAGTGAGGCGGGTCCATGGTTTCCAGAACCAAACCTCTCTGCACCCAGGAGGAGGTGGGCTGGTTCTTGCTCTTTCTGGATGGAATCTTTAGGAGCTACAGATGAAGTGCAGGAGAAGAAGTAGAAGAACCTCAGCTTTTGTTTATTGCGTCTGTGCGGATACGTTGAGACGCATTGATCATGAGATCTACTCCTCCTGTTACAGCTTCGCAGAAAAGGGCCTTTGGGTGCGTTGAGCACCTTCCTCTCTTCTTTGCTCCACCTCAGGGCCACACCTGGTGGAGACTGGCCAGTGCAGGAGGCGTCCGTGTGCATCACTGAGCTGTGTAACCAGCGTGGGGCAGCGACGCTTTGAGTGCTGCTGAGAACAGAGCGAGATCCTCTTCCTTCCTCTGCAGCTCCATGGAGCCCGTTGCTTCTGCACGCAGACGCCCTCGTGTTTCTATGGTGGGATGGAAGTAAAGAAGTTGTCCTGAAACACCCTGGATTCCTTTTGCTGCACGTCGCCACAGAGGCGCATAACTACGTCAGTGATGCGTGATTCATGACTTCGATACAATGATTCCTTAGATGTCACTTGATGTCACCAACGTGTTTAAACATCTGAGAAGCTGTAGTGACCTCTATGCATGAAAAGGTTCAATGTTCAGAGTTAGATAAAATGTGTAATACAATGCAGGGATTTTAAAAAGAATAATAAATAAAATAAAAGAATACAATTTGACAGAATAAACGGGTGAACATTGAATAATACCATTGTAACAATTGCTGTAGAATGTTAGTTGTCCTCTAATAAAGATGAGCCCCCGTAATGTGGACATTTTGTCCCCACAACCCTTAAATAAATCACAAGTCACCTGGATCCAAGCCAGCAGCATCCTCATCTTCTCCATCATAAGTATGAAAGTACGATCAAATATTTTATTCAATTAACTTTGTCATTTTAGTGGTGAGTGAGCTTACATATATACATATATATATATACATATGTATACATATACATATAACACATATATATGTATCGATTAACGTATTTTAATGAGGATAACGTTGATCCGCTGCAGTGCGCATGCAGAATGCAGCGGTGTCGCCCCCCAGTGGCGACCAGGAGGATTACGTGTTGAGAATGAGATCAGAAGATGCGGGTTTATTGGGTTTATTGGGCTTCAGTGGGGGGGGGGGGGGGTCGTCCCTCTCTGCTAAATCACAATGGTGCTGGAATGTGAGCAGCTGGCACATCTGGCCGCAAAGGGGGAAGAGAACCACACAGAAGTTTATTCCGGGAAGTTGAAGTGTTTTGAATTTGTTTTGCTTCTGTGTTTTCCCAGCCGGTGACGTCACGCGGCTCGGTGGTCAAACAGGGAAGTGCGGAGACAAACTTCCGCCTCGCTCCGACTCACCGGAGGTCTCCACCGGCCGGAGCGTCGTGTCTTCGGGGCCGCGAAGCTGCGCCCGGTGTCCGGGGAACCCGACCGGGCCGGCGGGTGTTACCGGGCCGAACGGGACGAGCAATACACGTCCACCCGGGACCGGGACCGGGACCCTTTCCTTCCTGCACCGAGGGTCGGGAGGAAGGAGGACGGGACGGTAGGACGAGCGGGGATGAGGACGGACAGCGGGCAGGAGACATGGCCGAAGCCCGGCCCGAGCAGGAGGACCCCGCGGGGCGGGAGCAGGTGGTCCGACGGCCGCCGGGCGGCGCCGCAGGTAACCGCCATGTTCACACGTACCAGTACACGCGTCCTTAGGGTCCTTCTGCCGAGCTGCCCCCGGTGACCCCCACGCGAGCCGATGGGCCGGAACGCGCACGGTGATCGATTGGGGATTTATTGGTGATCGATTGGGGATTTAAGGGCCTTTTACGGCAGAACTCTGCGGCTTCCAGCCCACGTGTCTTGTCTCCAGTACACGTGGTGTCTCCAGAACAACACCTGGGGGACTTTTAGTGTCTCCACGGAGGGGTTACCTCGGGACACTGAGGACATCACGTTGTTGGCAGGAGGTCCCGTGGGAGACGGGCTGACCAAAGCCACAAGTTCTCGCATCGACGTGTGGAGATCGGGGGTCAAAGGTCGCCCACGCAGGCTTCCGTTCACTCACTCACGCGCAGCCTCGACTGTAGCGTCTGTGAGTCCAGAGGGACGGCGGTGATGTTGTTGTGGCGCGGAGGTAGAGAGGCTGCGCTGGGTGCAAGGTCGGTGGTTCGAGTCCCAGCTGCCCCATGTCAAAGTGTCCCTGAGCAAGACACCTGACCGCTAGTTGCTCCCCAGGCCAAATGTAATGTGAGTCGCTTTGGATAAAAGCGTCGGCTAGATGACCTGTAATGTAATGTCATCACCTCGGGCCTCCGGCGTTGGGACACGAGAGACGTCCCAGGACCAGCCGGGGAACCCAGAGTGCACCGTGACCTCTGACATCAAGTCATGTGATGAGCTGGTCGACTCAAGGTGGGAGTCATTTAATTCAGACTAGAGGTACCAGCTTCCTCTTTCATTACATTACATTACATTACATCACATTACACCACATCACATTACACCACATTACATTACGTCACATTACATTACATTACATGACGTCACATTAAATGTCGTTTAGCTGACGCTTTTATCCAAAGCGACTTACATTACATGCATTCAACCATAAGGAAACAAACTCAGAAGAACAAGAAAGTGCAATTTGCAATAGATAAGAACCATTATAAGTATAATTTAAGTGCTACAGTTTGTAGAGTCTGACGCAGTGTGTCTTTAGTTTGAGGCAGAAGATATAGAGGAATATCTATATATCTATATAGATTTGAATTGTCTTTGTATACATACCAGCTAACGCTAATGCTACAGGTGAGGGAGGAGGGTTGGGTTATGAAACCCCAGCGTGGGATCCACCCGCTCTGCTCTCTGATTGGTGCGTTTTCCTGGGATCAGTTTGGATTCAGAGGGACGGTCCACTGAGCGCTTTAAGAGCAGATCTCGGGTCGATGATGTCATCGCACCTGCCCCCGCCTTCATGGGCGTGGCCTCTTCCTCTGTCCCTTGTCCACCAGCTGCAGAAAGCGTTCAGTGGTTCTTTTTAAGCTTGTGGTTGGGTCTGGTAAGAAGTTATTACCCCCCCCCCCCACACACACACACACACACACACACTCAAGCAAACATTTGCCTCCGTCTGCATCTACAGGTCAGAACGCCGCTCCACCTCGAGAACAAAAACATCTGGAAGCGTTAAAGCTCCTGATGACTCCAGCAGAATCCCTCGAGAGCCAATCACAACCCCACTTCCTGGAGGCTGTCGGCCAATCAAAGAGCGGGGGGCTGTGTGTGTGTGTGTGGTGGGGGGGGCAGCAGAGGAGGAGGAAAGAAGACAGAAAAGAACAAATCAGAGTGTTTTGGACAGCGGAGCGTCTCGTCTTATAGAGTTCTATAAGCGCTGCTTCGTCTCCGTGGACACCAAGGAGAGAAGGAGCCGAGGAAGGAAGGAGGTAGGAGACGATCCAGCGAGGGAGGAACTAGCCGCTACGTGTCTCTTCTCCGGCGGTCCACAGTGATGCTGATCCTAAAGCAGAGGACGCCCGTCCCTCAGTCCTCTGTGGTCCGCTGACCTCAGAGCTGCTCCGTAGTTAAACGTACCAGACCTGCATGTCGCCACGTAGGACCACAAAGTATCTGTAGTCTATGACGCAACCAGGTGGTCACGTGATCTGTCCTCTTCCTCGCAGGACGTCCCGACAGAAGGAAGCCGGAGCATCGTCACAGGTAAGAGACTCTTTTTCATTCAGAGGGGAGCAGATTTACTCCCACACGCTCCGCCGAGTCTTCTGTCGGCCCGTTGGCATGGAAACCAGCCAGAGAGGTCAGAGTTCACTCTGCGTGTCTGTGTGTAAGGGTTAACTAATGAGTAAGAGAGTATGATTCATTATTATAGACACACACACACACACACACACTCTGACTTGGTTCAGGAGAGAAGAAAAATGCACAACATGGAAAAACAGCATCAGAGGAGGAGGAGGAGGAGCTCACACAGCAGGAAAACACACATCTGCCTCAAAGAGAGAGGTGTGTGTGTGTGTGTGTGTGTGTGTGTGTGTGTGTGTGTGTGTGTGTGTGTGTGTGTGTGTGTGTGTGTGTGTGTGTGTGTGTGTGTGTGTTGGGTTAGCAGCTCTCTGGCAGACAGAGAGACAATTGAAAGAAGACAAAGTTTAAGACGCCCCCCCTCCTGTCATCGGGGGGGGGCTGCTGGCTCCTATTCTGCCTAGCAACAACGCACAACAGTACACGCTATACAAGTTGTGCGTTTGACTCGGCACAGATTCCCGAGAGCGACGGGAAATACGACCCGATGGAAAGAGTTTATATTAAATACTTTAAATAGTCAAGGAAAAGACACGTTGAGTAAAGACGCCCCCCCCCCCCCCGACCCTTGTTAACATGCGCTGATGTCTCTCTCTCTCTCTGTAGCCAGGGTCCTCTCTCGTCCATCAGAGCAGTCATCAAGAGAAGTGAGTCCTCCTGCTTCTTCTTCGTTGGTGCTTCATGTCTGAGTTCTGCCTTCAAATAAAGCTTTGTGGGTTTGAATGCTTCTGCAGTGAAACACTCAATAACTTGTTTAACTGCTTCCTGTTTGCTCAGCCGCCACCAGGTCCACGTCCCTCGCCGAGCCCTCCAGGGACAGAGACCGGGACAGAGACAGGGAGCGAGACAGGGACAGGGAGCGAGCCAGGAGGTGAGACAGGCGTTCATGAGAATGAACGCTCGCTTTGAGCAGCTTTCACCCCACGCCTCCTCCTCCTCCTGCTCCCCCTCCCCCTCCTCCTCTTGCTCCTCCTGCTCCCCTCCTCCTCCTCCTCCTCCTCACATCTAACACGGATTCCCTTAAGACACACATCTGTCAAATAACTCCATCGCTAACGTTAGCACGACGTAGCGTTCAACATGTGACTTCCTGTTCTCCCGTTGCTAGGCGACCAGAGATCACCATCCTGTCGGCGGAGCCGCTGTCCTCCGCCCCCTGGTTCCCCGGCGCCTCGGCGGGATTCCCGCCTCCGCCTCCACCCGCGGCTCAGATCTGGGGACCCACCATCCCTCCGTCAGTGCAGGTGAGAGCAGGTGTCCCGCCGACGACTCGCTGTCCGTCCAACGAGCCACCAGGACGAGTTGAGTCAGTGTGTGTCCTCCTCTCAGCCTCCTCCGTCCTATGAGGAGGTGATCAGGGAGAAGACGCAGGAGCAGGTTCTCCTTCCTCCTCCGTCCTCCTCCTCCTCCTCCCTGATAACGATCTCCACCCAGACGGACACGGGATCAGGCCCCCACCCCGAGGACTCCCCGGGTGAGAAGGAGGCGCCGCCTTGTTTATTGTTGTTTATTTGGTGTAAATGTTTCTCGGTTAATTTGGGTGTTTGCGTGCAGCGTGCAGAGGACCGGTGAGGCCGCCGCGGCCGCCGCTGTGCCGCCCCCCCCGGCCGCCTCCCCTTGATGACATCGCCCTCGCAGCCAGCCGATCCTCGCCCGACCTCCTCGCCGAAGCCTGCCCGCCCTCGACCTCCGGCGCTCCGACTGACCAACGGGATCACCCCCCCGGCGCGCCCACCCCCCCCACCACTCCCGATCCGCCGGAGCGTCCCAGGCCACGGCCACGCACCAGGCTCGCCGCTCGGCCCGCCGCCAGCGACGTCAGGGTTCAGACTCTGGTGAAGCTGCGCGAGGACGGCGCGGCGACGCTAGCCGCCCTCGCGGGAGCTGCCGCTGACCAGGAGGCGGGTCGGGGGAAGTACCTGCAGGAGCTGCTCGAGGCCTTCAGCACGGACGACTGGGGCTTCCCTGATTGCCGTGGCGACAGCAGCGGGGACAGCCAATCAGAGGGCGAGGAGGAGGAGGAGGAGGAGGACATGGCCACTCTGAGAGCCAGGATTCTTGCCTTCGAGCAGCAGCAGGGGGCCGAGGGGGGCGAGGAGGGCGGAGACGTTGCCGCCGCAAAAAGACCCGAACCTCGGCCACGCCCTCGTCTCCAGGGGCAACCGGCCAAATCTGTCCCGCCCACTGTTGCCCCGAAACCTAAAAGCCTGCCGCAGACCCCCAAGCCGTCCAGCAAGGTATTCTGGGAGGACGCAGGTTTGCCGGAGTCGAGTCTCACCGAGGCACAGGCCGCGCCCCCCCCGACAGCTGCTCCGCCCCCACCCTGCGGCAACGCCGAAAAACCCTCCGTCCCGCCGAAGCCCACGGAGCCCTCCGCCCCCGTCGCAGCTCCCAGACCCCCGCCGCCGAAATCCGCCTCCTCCACCGGTGAGCCGGCCAACCCCAAACCTCCGCCCCGCCCCCCGGTGGCCCCCCGGGTCGGCACCGAGGCTCCGCCCCGCGATAAGAGCACCGCGGCCGAGCCCGCCCCCCCGACTCTGCCCGCCAGACCCTCTGTGGAGGCCGGGACAGGAGACCAGACGGAGACACGGGACGCCGACAAGCAAACTGGTGAGTTATCCCTGACCTCTGACCTCGACGGGGACCTCTGACCTCGACGGGGACCTCTGACCTCTACCGTGACCTCTGACCTCGACGGGGACCTCTGCAGTCACAATACGTCGTGTTGCACTGGTTTAATAATCGCATCATTACGTGCAGCGTCACGTGTTTCCGTCTGGAGAAACTTCATGTTTTCTGTTCCAGTGAAAGTAGGAAGCGTTCGTCCAGGAGTCCCGACCAAACCAGCAGCTCTGACGTCACCTCGCAGGGCCAGCGGTAAGTGTGTGTGTGTGTGTGTGTGTGTGTGTGTGTGTGTGTGTGTGCGCGTGTGCACTAAGCTGGATGTTGATTCAGTACAATGGATCGTTTCAGAGCTTAGAGCCACACAAACTTGCTCATTATGTTGCAGTAATATGTAAATGTGGAGAGATGTGCCGTGTCTGTGTTGTGCGTGTGTCTGTGTTGTGTGTCTGTGTTGTGTGTCTGTGTTGTGCGTGTGTGTGTGTGTAACACGGGGGGGATTCTAGCTTTCAATCCAAAGCTTGTGAATGAAAAATGCAGCAATTGTGGGGGAAGAAAAAAGCCTCCTCTGTTTGTGTGGTGATTTTTATGAGTGTGTAACATCACTCGCTGTGTGTGTGTGTGTTGTGCGATTGCCCCCCCCCCCACCCGTTGTGGTGATTTCTTCCTGCGCTTTATATTTTACAATGAATGGTTGAATCCTGTCCTCTGATAGAAAACGTTTCTCCCCTTTAGCTCCAAATCTGGCCCCCAAACCGGCAGCTGCCGCCGCGGCCCCCCTGACCCCGGCCCCCCCGACCGACGGCCTCAAACCTCCGGCTCCGGCTCTGAGGAAGGGCCCCAAGCCGGAAAGTGCCACCGCAAGCCCAAACCCCCCGGACCCCCCCCTGCCTCCACGGTAACTTTGATAACCTCATTTAATCAAGAATTTTCTTTTTATTTCGTTTTATTTTGAAAAGCAGCTTCTGTTCTGTTCTCTTTTCCTCTCCAGGCCTTCCAGCGCAAAGCTCCTCCCCCTCCGTCCTCCGCCAATCAAATCCACTCCTGGTCGACCTCCGCCTCCAACCGTCAGCTCGGCGCACTCGGCCAACCAGACGGCTCCTCCTCCTCCGGGCAAGACAGGCCCCGCCCCCTCGGCCAGCCAGTGTTCGTCTTCACCGACCCCCACGTCCCGTTCTCCCGTATCAGCCAATCAGATGCAGCCTCAACCAGCTTCAAAGAAAGGGCCGCCTCTGCCCCCCCGCCCAAAACCTGGACACGCCCTCTACAACAGCTACGTGGTACGAACACACACACACACACACACACTCACACACACTCTCATGCTGTCATAGACTTCTTTTGTTTCATTGATTTTTATTCTTTCTCAGAAACAGGAAGTGCTGATCGTCCTGGACGACCCGCCCCCCTCAGAGCACCCGGCGGGGGAAGGGGGGAGTCGAACCGCCGTCGACCCCCCGCAGTGTCTCCTGGACGTGGACACCCAACCAGAGGCGCCTCTGGACCGGGACGGCCAATCAAAACCCTCCTCGGAGGGCCTCGGCCTATCAGAGTCCCAGGTAACTGAACTGAAGGGGGGCGTTCAAGTTCCGCTGTGATTTGGAGCACTGCACGTTCACCCGTTATGTTTGCTGAACTTCCATTAAGGGGTTAAAATCTAAATAAACGATGTGAAAGGAAGGAATCTAACGGCACACGTGAGACACGTGAGACTTACTCTTGTTTTGTCCTTCAGTCCATTTTACCTGTTGAGCCCAAAGAACGGCCCGACCCCCCCCCTGTCAGGTGAGACACGCAACCGATCACTACACAACAACTACACAAAAGGTCAGACAAATCACCGCGTGCGTGTTTGTGCGTGCAGCGGCCCCCGCTGCGTGGCCCTCTTCGACTACGAGGGCGAGGAGGAGGACGAGCTCACCTTCTCTCAGGGCGACGTCGTCCGCCTGCTGCAGCTCATCGGGGCCGAGTGGGGGCGGGGCCAAATCCACGGGCGGGTTGGCGTGTTCCCGCTGAACTTCGTGGAGGTGGTGCAGCCGCCCGGCGGGGAGCCCGCGGCGACGCTGGGCGCCGTCACGGGACCCACCGGTGGGCGGAGCTTCTGCTTGGAGGCTCAGATGAGCTTTGATTTATCTGGAGACGCGCTTGTCTCTACTGAATGTTCGTTTGCTTTATTCAACAGGAGCCGAGACGCCCCCGGACCCCCCCCCTGAGGTGTGTGTGCACCGGTAACACCGCGTGTGATCGCTGGACTGCTAGTTTGTGCCGTGAATCGGTGATCAGTGTTGTTGTTGTTGTTGTTGTTGTTGAAGCAGTGGGCCGAGGCGCTGTACGACTTCCCCGCTCAGACCGCAGATGACCTCTCCTTCCACAAGGGGGCGCTCATCCAGGTGACGGAGCACCTGGACCCCCAGTGGAGGAGGGGGAGGCTGGAGGGGAGGGAGGGCATCTACCCCGCCGCCTTCACGCAGCGCTGTCAGGGTAACACGCACACGCACACACACACGCACAGCCTGTCAGGGTAACACACACACACAGACACACACACAGACATAGTTGTAAGTACTCCACCTGCATCACGTGCAGGAAGTATTTTATATTATTTAATCTGGTGGGTGAATAAAACAAGCGCCACCTTTTTACTGAACGTTTTTTTTATTTTTTATTTGACGTTTTAGTTTTTATTCAAAATGTGGATGAATTATAATTATTAGTCCGTCTGTGCTTTTTCATTTCTTCATTTAATTGTATATTATTGGTTCTATGAAGACGTTATTATGATATTTGTTACAGGTTTGTTTCTGGTTTCAATTATTTCATTAGACTTTTACGAAACAGATTTTACCCCTTTTTAATCTTCTGGTAAGTGTGCAGCGATGTGTGTGTGTGTGTGTGTGTGTGTGTGTGTGAGAGAGAGAGAGTGTGTTTGTTTGTTTGTTTGTCCACTGAGGTCTCTGAAGCGCAACTTCCCACTTCCTGTTTCTAGCTCAGCCAATCACAGGCCAGCAGACGGCGGTTAAAGGAGTGGCCAAGTTCGACTTCACAGCTGAGGGCGAGGATGAGCTCACCTTGAAGGTGCGTGCGTGCGTGCGTGCGTGTGTGTGTGTTTTGTGTGTGTGTGTGTGTGTGTTTTGTGTGTGTGTGCGTGTGCGTGTGCGTGTGTGTGTGTGCGCACTGAAGGACGTTGTCTCTTCCCTCCTGCAGGTTGGTGATGTCATCACGCAGGTGGAGTTTGTGGATGAGCAGTGGATTCTGGGAGTTGTGGACAAGAGGCGAGGGATTGTTCCTATAAACTACATTTCCCTCCTCGATGAGACGCTTCAGTAGCTCTGCGGCTGTTTCTATTTTCATTATTTCCGATAGTTTGCTGACTAGACGGAGGAGCTGCAGTCGGTGTGCACGCACTCAATAATCTCCATAATGCTTTAAAACACAACAAAAATGACATATAAGGTAAAATATCACAATACAACTTCAATAATGTCCTATAATTCCTATTGTAACACAGTAAATGTGTAAAGACATATATTTGGTGTCTTTTTTCTTGCACAGATTGGCAACATTTTAAAACAATGACCACTTATAAACACATCAATAAACCAGTAATCACATTATAATAAATGATTTAATGTGTTTATGGGAGTTTAATCTGATCCTCGCCTTATAATGTGTGAGTTCTGTCGTAAAGCATTATTATTATTTATAAAGACGGGAATCTAATATGATTTATGGACATTTGTATGTATAATAACATACAAACGTCCGTAAATCCACTTTTCACTTGTTGCACCTGATGATCTGATGTGTAGCATTTATTAACATAACTGACTGCGGGCAGATTATATTGTTTGTGACGTATGAAATGTTTAAACATTTTAATCTTTTTAGACTAAGCTTCAGATTTCTACATCTGTTTAACTTTAGGATCAAAGGAAGACGTATGAACGTATTTCTGAGACGCTCAAGACAAATGTTTAACATCTATTTCCTGTTTGCTTAAATTAAAGAGGCGACTCATTAGAAGGGAAATCGAACGTCGCCTTCGTATTGTGAGTGAAATACGAGAATCTGTTTTTAACCTTCAAACTTTTTAACAAATAAAACTTTCAGACATTTCAATCATTGTAAACGTTTTTTTTCTTCCTTCTCTTTTTTTTTTTTTTAATTTCCTCGAGAAATGGACTTAGTTTGTTTTGGGGAAAAAAAGGGTATTTCTTTTCTGAACCAAATATATTTTCAGACTCAACTGTCAAAATAAATATTTGGTCCAAAAATGTAGACAAATGTTTGAATAAAGGTAAAACATTGAGAAGTTACATTTAAGGTAAGAAATTGATTTGAAAACAAATCAAAATATATTTGGTCATAAAATGTTTGAATAAATAAATAATATAGGTCGAAAAACATTTTTGGGGAAAAAAATCAAAATATTTAAGGGAAAGAATATTTGTGTCAAAAATATTTGATAAAAATATGTGAAGTGAAAAAATGTAGAAAAAAGATCAACCTCAAAACATCAGGTCAAATGGAAAAATGTTTTTAAAAAACTGTCCAACTACGTAATATATTTGTCTTTTTTCACCATGATGAAATACGTCATGGTGAAAAAAGACAAAAAATATTAGGTCGAAAAATATTCGGGGAAATGAAAGTCAAATATGTCAAACTTTTTTAGAAGTAAAAGCAAAATACGGCGTCTAAAACTCAGTGAAAAAGAGACAAATATTCGATGGAGAATCATTGGTGTAAAACAAACAAGAGATTCCTGTAAAGCGGATAGAAGAACTCTGCACTGCACCAGCTTTTATTTTCACAGTCGATCCCAGCGTACATCACAACACATACATGTCTCATACCGTGTGCACCTTTTATACCGCGTGCATGTTTCATATGGACACGGATCGTCGTTTGCATTAAAACGCGTCTCTTCTATCTTCTGCTCTACCTTCGTTTTCCTTAAAGCATCTTGCGTCAAACAGCTGATTGAGATTCCTAAATGGGACGAGATAACCGGGTTTAAATGTTCAAAGTTTCTCGTTTGAGGAATTCGATCTGTCCTAAAAACAAGTTTCATCAATCTGAGCTGGACGGAAGTCGACTGCAGAGATGCTCTCAGGGAAAGAAGCTCAGTCCTAACTTCTCTACTTCATAAAAAAGACTCAGTTCCCGTCTGATGAGATGAGGCATGATGAGAAACACAAAGTCTACTGACTCCTGGGAGTCCCAATGAATTCAACCTTTATAAAAACATATTCAATCAAAACCAGGAGACGAGATGGTTCCTGGACAGATGACCTCTGGGAGGAAAGGTCACAGATTGACCGATTACGTTACGGTTGAGTTGGAAAACGTCTCTGAAACTCACCCGGGGTTCAATCGGCCGCAGTTTGTTTCAACTCTCGTGTGTCAGATCTCTGACGACGTCTGCGGGTAATAAAAGGAACTGAACGTTGGCAGAAACCACAGAAATGCTAATGCAGGATATGCAAATGTCCAAAGACACCAAATCGGAAGTTTATCAAACACGTGTCGGGCGCCGCTCGCCGGCCGCGCTCACCGACACGAGGCTCCTCCGGGTTCGGTACTGAGGAGAGAATTAAGACTACGGGCTGGAAGCAGGCGGAGGGGGAGGAAGGCCGGTGGAGGGTCAGGCGGAGGGGGAGGAACGCTACGACCTTCTGCCACTTTCCAGCATCGTTGCTCTTTCCAAAGTCGAGGTCGTCCCGTGAGCGGGTGACAGGAAGTGGGTGTGGTCCCGGGGACCATCCCTCCGTCCGACGCGTCTCCTCCGCTGAACAGGAAGACGTTCTTTGGGGTGAACTGTCCCTTTAAACAAGACGACGCCCACTAATCTTCAGACCAATCGCAGTTAAACAAAGATCTTAACGTCTGACTGTCAACACGTTTTATAGGATTCTCCCCGAACTCTTAACAGGCGGCGGCAAAAAAGAGGCCATGGAAAGGTCAAAGGTCACGGCGAGGTCACGTTTACTCAGATAACATTCGTTTTTTTAGTTTCTTTTGATCTGGACACACTAAACACTCACTGAGAACCACACACACACACACACATGCACACACACACACACATGCACACACACACACGCACACACACACACACACACACACACTGACCACCACTAAATGGACTTTGGTCCTGTGTGGATGCAGCGACATGATTGATGGATGGCGGTTGAACGTTGCGACTTTTTGTTGCTAGGCAACGTTTACCTTTGAACTCCTTCCTCACAGTTTGTCTACACAGCCTCAGAAACCTTGTTTTTTATTTAGATATATTTATTTATTCTAATAAGGTTACTCGTGTATTATTGTTTTTAACTGTTTTATATTAAGCTGCAACTCTTCATCACCGGAACATAAAAGTGAGGATGTGATGTCACAATTATTAAAATGTCAAAATAATTCATTTTAGTGTCTTTTGGGAACCGGAAATCAATGATAACTTGAGTCGTGTTTGTCAGCGGTTAAATGGGATGTAAAGTAAAAAGTACAATAATGTACTTTTGCAAAATGCGATATTAATCTCTTTTGTTAAAAACAAGGTTTTTGAAGGATGCCGAGACGTCGCGTCTCTTTTCATTTAATCTTTGTTCAACACTGCTACGGTTCCCTACAACTGAATCACACACACGCTCACAGTATTTACAGCGTATTCTGTTGGGAGCAGGAGGCGGGGCTTGGGCTAAAACACGCCCCCTTTCCTTCGGTCACAGCTAAAACCTTTAAAGGTAGTTAAATGTTTTTGTTTTTTATTGTGAGGTTTAGACGTCGCTCGGTGCGTTTGAGTCACAGTACGAAGGCCGAGGACGTGGACGGGGACAGGAAGTCTCTGCTGAGTCCATCGAGTCCACGGAGACGCTGAAAGATGTAAATCTGATGGTTTAATCAGCTTCTACAGGGAACGACGGTTTATATCAACGTCAGACGTCGCTTTGAAATCCGTCAAGGTGTGTTAGCGAGAAACACAAAACAGCAGCGATGAGGAGAGACCTGTGGGGGTACGAAGGACACTAAGGGGGGGTCATCAGCGTAAACAGGCACAGTCCTCAAACGTCTCCACGTGAAGGAAGAAGGAGGAGAATCGTCCTCCGGCCAGCGCGAGGACAGCCGGAAGGAATGGAAGACATCCTGCTCGCCGAGCGGCGGCGGCGGCGGCGGGGGGGGGGGGGGGGGGCACTGGTCAAGGGCCGGTCCCTGGAGCCGCCAGGCGTAGATGTGAGATGTCACTCTCCGGGACAGCAGCCGGGCAGCAGCTTGTGAAAGTCTTCAGAGGGCGCGGACGGTTACCTGTAGAAGGTTGAGTGGATAAAAATGGACCATGAAGAGGAGCTTTAGACCGGACTCGTTGGGTCTGCAGGGGAGGAAACGGGGTTCTGGGCCTCATGGGGGGAACTTATTCCAGTACTATTCCACAGGGTTCCAGTAGAAGATAAGGATACTTGTTTGGTTAAAGGGAGAAAAGGTATTTGGTGAATCTCAAGTTGATGAAACGGGACAAACTCTGTTTTTGTCCCATTTGAGAAGAAGACCTTCTATGACCTTGATGGTTTCCACTTTCTAGGAAAGAGAAAGCTCAGTTGGGTTCCGGTGGATGAACAGATGTTTCCTGCAGGGAGAAGGAGGGGAAACTCCTTCATTTTGAAGTGAAAGAACGGGGCGATTTGTAGACGTTGAGGGAACGTGTTGCATCTCCGGATCCTAGACCAGATTACAGGTAACTTGGTTGTTCTGGTTCAGATTTAAGGGGTACTGGTTTGGTCTTCTGGGAGAATCTGGATCACAAGTGGGAAGACCTTTTTGTGGGGCTTTCAGGTGGATCAAAGTTGTTTTGTTTCCAGTTGATGGAAGACCTCCTTGCTTTAAACCAGAGGAGAAGGAACCGGTCTGGTTTCCAGCGTTGGCGATTCCAACTCTGGATCCAGTGCGTCTCCACTGGCGATTGGATCCAGCGGAGCCTCGTCCTGAACAAACAACAACACAAACAACAAGTCACAGGCGTAGACGGTAAACTCAACTTTTCAAAATGCAGCTGGAAGACGAAACAAGCTGCCGAGGGTTTGAGGAACGTTTCACCAGAGAACCTCCTGAGTCAATAAAGTCCACTTCTCTTACCGTCAACCAAGGGTGGGACAGGACCTCCTCAGCTGTAAATCGAGCGTCCACGTTCACCTGCACCATCTGGCTGATCAGCATCTGGGGAGCAGGTCATGTGACTGTCACGTGACGTCAGGTGTTCTTCATTCTGCGGCGGCGATGTGCTACCTTAGCCGGGAGGCTGATGGTGTCCCAGTCCGGAGACGGAAACTCCAGCTTCCCTCTGAGGATCTGGTCGAACAGCTCCTCCTGGACGTTGTTCTCACTGGGGAGCAGAGGAGGAGGAGGAGGTAGAGGAGGTGGAGGAGGTGGTAGAGGAGGAGGAGGAGGAAGAGGAGGAGGAAGGAGTCAACGTTTAATCAAGGATCCGGACCACAGCGACTGGTCACTTCAGAGGTTCACACACCGACCTTCTGAAGGGAGGGAAGCCACACAGCAGGATGTAGGTGATCACTCCGGCCGCCCAGATGTCCACCTTCAGACCGTAGCTACACACACACACACACACACACACACACACACACACACTCTGGTCAAGAGTCCTTAAGCTCCTCCTCCTCCGACTGGGATCCGCCGACTGATGCTTTTGGTCTCACCCGGTCTCGGCGATGATCTCCGGGGCGACGTAGGTGGGCGTGCCGCAGACGGTGTAGAGGGGCCCCTCCACCACCGTCGCCAGGCCGAAGTCGCCCAGCTTCAGAGACTTGGTGCCGTCACGGTACTCGCACACCTGCAGCACACAAACACACACACAGAGTACACACTGACAGCACACAGCCGGACTGATCGGAGGAGCAGATGAACTTCACGATCACGGTCACGTTTAAATGTGTGTGTGTGTGTGTGTGTGTGTGTGTGTGTGTGTACCAGCAGGTTCTCCGGCTTGATGTCCCGGTGCACGATGTTCATGCGGTGGAGGTACTTCACGGCTCCCGACAGGTTGAACACCATCGCGCTGGAGTCCCGCTCGCTGTACTTGGTGGACGAGGTGATGGCGTCGAAAAGGTCGCCGCCCTGAAGCCGTGGAAACCGTGAGTACAAAGACCAACAGGAAGGAGCGAGGAGGGGGAGGAGGAGGAGGAGGAGGAAGAGGAGGAGGCACCTTAACGAGCTCCATCACCAGGAACAGCTGACTGGGCGTTTCGTCCACCTCGATCAGCTGGATGATGCTGGGATGACGAACCCTCCTCAGCACCGCCACCTCGTTCTCTATCAGGTGCTCCTGACACACGTTAACCATCGGGGGGGTCAAAGGTCACGCAAGCACTTTGTCACCCACCGGGGGTCAAAGGTCGCACGAGCACTTTGTCACCCACCATGGGTCAAAGGTTGCACAAGTACTTTGTCACCCACCATGGGTCAAAGGTCATCAAACACTCGGTCGAAACATGGAAAGTGAATTGAATGCCACAATTTAATTTCCTCCCGGTCTGTTATGCAGGTGATCAATAGAAGTGGGCGTTACCTTCCCACAGCAACGCGCTTTATCAATGATCTTCAGCGCGTACTCGTGTCCCGTCGACCTGTCAGTCAAAACGCAACAGGAAGTAAAACAAGTAATTATCCCAAATTCACACAGGTCATATTTCAGAAAAGGTTTTTAAAAAAGTTTCACCGTCATGTAAAACATTTCAATCAACTTTTCGGTCGATTGTTTTTTAAATTAAAAAAAGACTTTTATTCAATAATGTTTTTTTTAATTTACTTTTTAAATCAAATGAAGGTTCCACATAGAAGCTTTTAAATTAAAGTCTGTCTATACATACACATGATGTATAAACGTGTCACATGGTATCATACGTGTATAAACGTGTCACATGGTATCATACGTGTATAAACGTGTCACATGGTATCATATGTGTATAAACGTGTCACATGGTATCATACGTGTATAACGTGTCACATGGTATCATCCGTGTATAAACGTGTCACATGGTATCATACGTGTATAACGTGTCACATGGTATCATCCGTGTATAAACGTGTCACATGGTAGCATCCGTGTATAAACGTGTCACATGGTATCATCCGTGTATAAACGTGTCACATGGTATCATCCGTGGATGAACGTGTCACATGGTATTATACGTGTATAACGTGTCACATGGTATCATCCGTGTATAAACGTGTCACATGGTATCATCCGTGTATAAACGTGTCACATGGTATTATACGTGTATAAACGTGTCACATGGTATCATCCGTGTATAAACGTGTCACATGGTATCATCCGTGTATAAACGTGTCACATGGTATCATCCGTGTATAAACGTGTCACATGGTATCATCCGTGTATAAACGTGTCACATGGTATCATCCGTGTATAAATGTGTCACATGGTATCATCCATGTATAACGTGTCACATGGTATCATCCGTGTATAAACGTGTCACATGGTATCATCCGTGTATAAACGTGTCACATGGTATCATACATGTATGAATTCTCGCTTATTGTCACTCACTTCTCAACACACTCCTCACCACCG